TCCATGTTTTCTCGACCTATTTAATAGGCCTATCTTATAATTTATTCAAACATACTAATTACATGGATCTAACTTATTTCCGAAATTTTATGAAATATTTTACTTGACTACTCACCATAGGCATTGTAAATATGATTTTCTTGCTCTGAGAAAACACGAATTCATGCGCTAGCAGTTAATAAATTTTTTTTGCATGTATGGACACCAAGATGAAGTGGCCTTTGTTTTGGTAAGTCCCTAAAGTGTCGTTATGTCCTCTTCCTGCATCCGACCAATGACTGAGTACTTCCACAGACTTGTCTCGTTGGCAAGTGGTAGTTCGGGGCTAAGACTGACAAAGCTCATTGACGATACATCGCCAACTACGATGTGGCATAACCTCTGTAAGTGTATCCAGTCACCAGCCCGAGGCTGGAAAAAATCATGACAGCTATGTGAGAGGACGCAGTATGAGGTACGTTCTTCGAAGTCTCCCTTTACGACCAATTTACGAGGAGTAAGTTAGACCAATTAAACACATTTATATGTCATGTTTTCTAGACTTTCCAAATGACCAGACTAAAAGTATTTTGTGTCCAAAGCAGCATCTGTTTTCCATAAACTTCATCATCTAGTTAACTTCTCCTTCTGCTTATGTCCAACTTTCGAAGTTGATTAGCTTATTCCCAGATCGCCACAAGAAGAGAGCCTATAACTAGCAACCCTTTGCCTTGATGACAATGTCTTAGAGACGACAGACTGACTTTGCACAATACCTTTGTAGTAAACTGCGTACTGCTAGACTAGCCACCGGATGTCTGGAAAATATGTCTACTTAATTTGTTATTGGTTCATCTGACTTCGATTAAGTTGTAGAATGAAAATGTAGCCATGCTCGCCCATTCTCATACCCTGAGGCAATAAGGCACCGCATAAAGCTGCCTGAGCCGGATGTATTTTATATGCAAGCATTATGCAAAGAAGTCACTGAATTAGAGGTCTTGAAGTCGCAATTAAAGCATTTGGGGCTATCTACCTAACCACCAGCAGTAACCTATTTCAAAAGTGTAAAGAATCCGGTTCTTTGGACAGAGTTCTCTAGACCGTTGCGTGTCCCAGAATTAGATCACTTCGTCTGTCTCCTGCACATAAGCCGTTGGCTCTTATGTCTAATTTTTCTGACTTTCTTGAATGCTATTTGTATCCCGTTTTCAAGAGTTCGAGGGGTGAGTTTTCGGAATTGCAAGAATTTGGCAGATAACTATTGTGACCCTAGCTGATTCTCACATTCAAGCCTAGACAGTGTATTCGCGAGACAGGTGAAGTACTTAATGGGAAATTTTCATGCCTCCACAATATGTTTTTCTTCTGGTTTCCGTTACTTTTATTTTTATTCACCACGGTTTTTTCCTCGATAAGTGAACTATTTCTCCTTTCCACCCCCAACTCCACTTTTGCAGGAGCTTTTTCTGGCGCTTACACTTCCCGATTGTCTAAACTATGCCCGTGGACGGACTGCACCGTCTGTAGATGCCACTATCCGCCAATTCAACATTGTTTACCGCCTCGTCCTTGCCACAGTTCTTAGTCAGACGCCAACTCTAGCTAATCCGAACCTTGGGAACTCCTTCTCGGGCTCCACATCTTTCTTCAGCATCCCTGTCACCTCATCGCCGGCCCAAAATGTCTCAAATGCCGTCATAAACCCTTCATATGCTTCTACTCTCCCTTCCGTCGGCTTGTTGGCCACCTCGAATTCTATCACTAATCGGCCTAGCTACAATGCTGTTCCACCCCCCAAGATGGTAAACTCATCCTCGACCTCCTCCTTCGCCAGTATTTTACCCGAGGTACCTCACCGCATCACCGAGGTGGCTCCTATCTCGCTGACTGCCCTCGGGATCAGCGTCCCCTTTTCGTCCAGCTCCTGCATTCCAACCGTTTACCGGCCATCCTTCCCTCTCCAACAACAACAACAACAACAACAACAAATAAAACAGCATAACTGTGCTTCTCAACCGCACTTGCGCCACCATAGTCAACCGTATTACAACCAACAGCAGATCCCGAATTGTCTGGCTTCAGGCCTGGTCCAGATGAATGTGATCGACTGCACCTTCAAAAATCACGAGTTGTTGAATTCGGCCGAAGCATGTGCTGAAAGAGCGCAAGTGCTGACCAGGTGGATTAGAGTCGCCTGGGTGAGAGCACTAGACCCTGTCCAGCCGGGAATCAGGCCTATTCAGTCAGCCACATGCAAAAGAGTTCTTTTACTGCTCCTTATCTTTGCCTCTAGTTTCATACTCTCGCCTGTTGGCCCACACGAGTAACTAAAAACTTAGTCACTTCAGGTGGCTTAAAATGATTTAGGGACTAATAGTTGAGCTTCTTCACCTTTTTGTGAGTATGCAATTTAATTTCGCCTAGCCTTGTTTCCTAGCATGCTATCTCATCCAAGAT